TGTTGGACTTATGGACTTGAGCTGGACTGGGCTGGGATGTTCTCAATATACAAAGCCATTTTATATAAAGCTCTTTCTTATACACATGAGTGTCTATGAATTTATTTCTCTAGTCAGCCAGGACTAATACAGTCATCAACCTGCGTCTTTGCCACCTGACGCTGTTTGAGGAAGGAAAGCAGGTTTTTTCACCTGCCATGTACAGCCAGAGTAGAAATGGGAGTGACTTCGAGTGACTGAACTGTGGCTGGGGAGCCAGGGAGAAACTAGTGAGGACCCTGGATATCCAGGGACCGGGAGAGGACCTCTGGTGGATTGGAGTCTTCCTAATTTTCCTTTCCTTCCCCAGACAAGCCAGGGAAAGTTTTGGTGCTCTAGTTACACACCAGCACGCAGCCCCTTGACCTGTGGGCTGTGTTAGGAGGAGGTGACCCTCATGACCTTCAAGATGTCCAGTAGAACAGGCCAAACTGGCCAGAGGGGCTGGATGAGATGCGAGTTCAGGCAAGGGCACAGCTGATGCCCCACCCTGGGGTCTTTGTAATGGTTTTCTTCATGTCTCTAGGCAGTGTTCCCCAGGGTCACTGGCCTGTCAGCTATTGCAGCATCCTGGCCAGACACTGAATCATTTCTCTTGCCCATTTGTGAGGGTGCCGCTTTGAACCATCCCTCATCTGAGTGGACCTGTGGGCAGAGAACAGACTCAAACATCCTCCATCTGCCTTGGTGCTCTGCCCCACCCTTGCTGGGGACACCTCTGTTTCTGTGCCAATCCTGTGCCTCCATCTATTTCCATCCCACTCCCCAACATCCTGTTCTGCTTTAGGACCACAGAAGAGTCCTAAGAGTGGTACCTAGCCTGCTCTGGGGTCTAAATCTCCAGCAATCCACAGCCCTGTGCCCTGTCAGTGCTGCTCACAGAAGCATCCCTTCCTACCAGTTAAGACCCAGGCACCTCACACCCTCCCAGACATCCTGTCCAGATCCATCCCACTCTCCCCCCGAAGAGCCAGGTCCCTGAGACCTCTGAGAACATAGTATTGCCAAAGAGAGTGCCAAAATACAAAGTGTGATAAGAGGGTGCCCTGAGGAGGGGGGAACAGGACCCCTCAGCTCTTACAGACCTGGTTGGTCCCCACCAGTGTGTGCAGAGCAAGCCTCTGCCCTACCCCTGAGAGACTTGCTCAGGGCTGCTGACACGGCTCCTGATGGAAAGGAGGGCCACGGGCAGAGTCCTGGAAAAGATGAGCTAAACTGGGCCTAGGGTGGTGACAGGCACTTTCCTTCTCTGAAACCAAAACCCCAAACCGCACCCACTGCCATCAGGTTCATTCTGACTCAGCAACCCTGCAGAGCAAAGTAGAACTGTTCATTGGGGTTTCCACACTCTATATCTTTATGGGAGCCAGGAGCCTCATCTTTCTCCTATGAAGCTACTGGTAGGTTTGAACCCCTGACCTTGTAGTTAGCAGCCCAGTGCTTAAATTGCTGTAGCAGGTTAACTTCCCTCAGAACAAAATGGGCCTCCTTTCCTTGCTGAGTCGGAGATCACCACCCCTGCCTGCTCAGTCTCCCAGCACATTCCCCAGCCCTATTCCTCCTCTGAGGAGCTATGGAGCCAGGCAGTCTCCAGTGCTCACCCCTCTGCCTCCAAGCCAATTCCTCAGAAAGAGCGGTTCCTGGCCTTTCCACAGCCTGGGGCACATTGCAGAGACATCAACACAGAGCCCCAACCAAGGTTCCGGTTCCGTGGAGTCTCCAGGTTAAGGATCCCAGGGTGGGGTGCCTTCTGAGAGGTTCTGGGAATCAGTCTGTGACATTCTGGGACCTGCATTTGATTCTACAGATTCCACTCAGGCTTTCCTTGCAGAATAAAGGCTCCGGTGGAATTCTCCCATGGCCCTTAACACGAATCCCTTGGAAAACAGCCCCTGCCTGCCCAGTGACGCTAGCAGTACTGATTCAGATGCAAAGGTGAGGATGACTCTCCCGTTCAGGGGTCCCTGACTGGTGCTCCGGTTCCATCTCAGACTCTGCAGTGAAAACAGTGATCCCGGGGAGACTGGCTCCACCGCCAAACTGTTCTGTGGGAACATTGTCCCAAAGTCAAAACCAAGTCTGGGTAACATTAAAGTAGGTAAGCTCCAGTTCTCGGGCAAAGGGAAAGTCGACTTGCGCATAGTGTCATAAAGGCCCTAAGGTGGCCTGTGGAAAAATAAACATAGTTTACTCCCCCTCATACACACACACACACACACAAATAGGACTGGATTTTTATTGATTGAAGCATTTTATCGTGAATGGGTGAAGGTTTACCAAGCAGATCATCAGTTTTACGTCCGCTGTCGCTGGTAAGTGTCACTGAATCAGCCCCGACCGTGAGCGACCTAATGGACCACAGAGCACTACACTGCCCAGGCCGGCCCCAGCCTCACCCTGTTCTTAAGCTTGTGCCCATTGTTGCAGCCACTGTGTCAATCCATCTCCCTGAGGACCTTCCTCTTTTTCGTTGCCCCTCTACTTTGCCAAGTATGATGTCCTTGTCCAGGGTCTGGTCGCTCCTGACACGTCCAAAGCATGTAAGGTGAAGTCTCACCAGCCTTGCCTCTCAGGAGCACTCTGTGTTGGTCCTTTTAGCAGCCCATGGGTACTTTCAATATTCTTCTCCAGCACAATTCAGATGCATCGATTCTTCTTTCATCTTCTTATGCATCGTCCAACATTCACACATGCATACGAGGCCATTGAAAATACCTATATGTTCAATAGTCATACACTTAATTTTTCAACTCATTCATTGCAATTTCCCGAAATAACACCACTTATCCCATTTCCTCTCTCTGATTCCTGTTTCTATTCCTCCTTCTCTTCTAACCCTTCTGAACTTGGTCCTTCAGTAAATGCTGTCCATTTGGTCTCAAATGGTAGAGAGACTGGTGGGAACCCCAAGACTATGGCCCTTAGGTCTGAACCTGAACTCACTCCTGTGGTTGTTTTCAGCCCAGCAATAGACAGTCTGTCAGAGACATAAGCCTGGCCTTTTTCATGACTTTGATTCAGGTAGTCATAGCGGGATACCATCTAGTTCTGGTCTCAGGGCATTGGAGACGGTGGTCCACTAGTACATTGGACCCAATTATTCCCTCAAATCTCCCATTTCCATCACTCTTCTTTCCTCTGCACAGGGAGAAGCCAATGGGTGCACCTTAGATGACTGCTCACAAGTTTTTAAAGACCACAGAGGCTACTCACCAAAGTAGGGTACAACACATTGTCTCTGTGGACCCTGTTACGTCCATTGACACTGGTACCCTCTGAGACTGTGGTCCTGAGCCTGCAAGCCCACGTAACTCATTCCCTCTAGGGTGTTTAGTTATGTCTAAAAAGTTTTTGTAACTGTCCAGAGCATTTCTTTTAAAAGATAAAACACGTCTTGCAGAGAAATGAGCTGTTGCTGAGCATGAGAGAATTAGTGCTAGGAGACTATATTGGCTACCAATATTTTACCTGAGAAATTTCATTTGTATGGATAATTAAAGAAAAAGTACTATCCTTCTAGCTTCCTTAATCCAATTGTGTCAGCTCAAAAAGAATCATTTTCCTCCCTGAAAGTTGTTTTATCTGCTACGCATCATGATAAATGAAAGTTATATTGAGTTGTTAAGGAGAACTGGTGGTGTGGTAGGTTAAGCACTGGGCTGCTAACACAAGGTCAGTAGTTCAAACCCACCAACCATTCCTTGGGAGAAAGAAGAGACTATCTGCTCCTGTAAAGATTTGTAGTTTCAGAAATTCTATGGAGCAGTTCTACGTTGTCCTAACTCTGATATGAGTCAGAATCACTCGATAGTTGTAGGTTTGGTTTTTAGATGATCTCAAGTATTTTCAAGGAGTTACAGCTTGAAGTTTTATTCCGCGTCCTTTGGAATCCAGCTTCCACTTTTGAGTAGGGCAAGGTCTGGGAAAGTTCCCAACACAAAGCTTCCAGGTGTCTTTCACCAACCGAGAAGTTCTGACTTACTTCCCTTTAAGGCTGTGATTCCCAAACTCATTAGACCAGTGGTTCCCAACCTTCCTAAAGCGGTGACCCTTTAATATAATTCCTCATGTTGTGGTGACCCCCCAACTATAAAATTATTTTCGTTGCTACTTTATAACTAATTTTGCTACTGTTATGAATCGGGTGACCCCTGTGAAAGGGTCATTCGACCCCCAAAGGGGTTGCGACCCACAGGTTGAAAACAGCTGCATTAGACCATAGATGCTTTTTCGGGAGTGGGGAGAACATATGCTAAAGGAACACTGTTTGGAGCCACTGTTAATTCAGCCACATCCCTCATCAATAAAGGTATCAGGGATGGCTCGGGTCCTCACTGCAGCCACCAAAAACTTGTTCCAGATAGATTCTGTATTCTTCCTGCTCAAGCATGTTGATGGAGCCAGCCCTCAGGAGCAAGGCAGATTCTCAAGTCCCACCCCAGACCAGTGGATGAGAATGTGTGTAAGATCCGAGAGGGTTTGATGCACAGCACTTTGACCAGCATGCTTCTCTATCTCCTGTTCTTCCCCCACCACAGCTGCACAGTTGGGTCACCTACCCAGCCAGGTGGGAATATAGAATAGACTTATGTTTGGGAATCCTGCAGCTCTATTTGGGAAATTTCCCACAGTATGAGTCTTTTGTTTCTAAGGTCCAGAAGGGGAACCAAAAGGGACTGACTGCCAGCCAGCCCAGAGGCCTCATTTCTGCAGAGCCTCATAAAAAAAGTGACTTGGTAGCCTTTCTGATTTGGCTCAAATGTCTCTTCCACAGAGATGTCAGAGACTGAAAGAGGCTCACCTTAGGGGTCCAACCAGGGTCACCCCTGAGTGTCCATCCCAGTCTCCCCTAAAAAGTAAGTAACGGTCATTCCCCAGGGTCAATCATAGTCACTCTGAGCGCACCTTGACCACCCCAACCACCTTCTACAGAACCGAGGAAAGCAGGAGGAGCCAGCGTCTAGGGAGAAGACGTTTTATTGGGAATCTGCTCCATCAATAGCTACAGAAAGCTGGGAGGGAGCAGTTGCTGTCTCATGGCCCCGGCCACTGAGGAACCCATGTAGAGGGGGAGTGGGAATGAGGTGTATGTAGCCTGGTAAGGACCAGAGAAAAAGGCTGCCCTGGATGCTATCTGGCAAGAGGAGATTGATAGGGGAAGAGAGGGAGGCGCTGGCAATCCAGATGCCCAGATGTCTGGGGGAAAGGCAAGCAGGGGCCAAAGAGGAGGTCATGGATTTAGGAGTCACTGGGTCAGGGCGTGGACCACTTCCTTCACCAACATGGTACCAATTACCATCTTCTCGCTGTTGACGGTCAGCTGTGCAGCTCCAGGGGACTGGGCATCCAGGGTCAGCAGGACGAGGCTCCCGCTGGTCAGTGTCCTCCCTGCAAACCTGGGGTGGGAATAGACCAAGGGGCTCAGCCCTAGAGTAGGATATCCTTCCTTCAAGCCTGTCCCTCCCCAGGGCCCATCTCTTCCACTCTCTGAAGCCCAGTACCTGTACTCGTCAGCTGTCCCACAGGGGACACGACCCAGGTTGGCAGTGGCAGTCACTTTCTGCATGACAATGTGGTCACTTCGACAGGTTTCCGGCAGCGTGAGCTTCTCTGTGATCTCACTCATGCCTGTCAGCTTTCCTGCAGACAAAGGTGAGGATGAGCAGGGAGGCCTTGGTGGGGCCTGAGGCTGGGTCTGCCCACACTCCTCACATTCTCCGTACCCTGGGCTCGCCCCAGGGCAGGTCTGGATCTCCTTCTGCAGCCCTGAGCAGGAGGTACTTCCCTCTCAGACCAGGCCCTCCCTGAGGAAGCCTTTGTCTGCCTCTCACCCCAGACCATCTCACTCAGGACTCTGTCCATGCTGACCATGGACTGACTGGCTTTTCCCATTGTCAGAACTCAGTAGCTGGTCAGTTCTTGGAGGGTTCCCCACACTGAGACCCCACACCCTATGGTCTTCCCTGGGTTTGACGCTCAGCATCTGGACATTGAGAGCCCTCACAAAGAGATCACCAGTGGCTGCCAACTTCCCGGCCCTCTGATAGGCCAGTCCAGTGCTTCTGGGCAGCCTCACAGATGATTCCCAGTAGGCACCCAGAAGGCACCTCCTTCATCAGGCCCTCAGGGCAATGCTGTGCCCTCCCACCCACCCACAATCGTCTCTTCAGCCTCTCTCTCCTCCCCCTGCTGTGTCCCCTGGTCTGCCTCTCCTTTTGAGAACTGACACTGTATTTTCCATCCCCTTTATTTGTTCTTGCTCCTATACCTTTAGTCTCTCCATGTGCAAATCTTCCTAGTTCTAAAAAAGGAAAAAAATCCCCTCAATCGGTGAGATCTTTTCATCTCACCAGTGCTCTCTCTCTCCTCGTTCATGGTCAAAGCCTTCTAGAGAGCATTCTCTTTCCTCAAGCCCTTGCCTGCCTCAACCCACTGCAGTTGGCCTCTGCACCCCACAGTCCACCTCTGTTGGCAATGACCTGCTCTCCCTAATGTTGGCGGTGGCCTCCTTTACGATGGACCAAAAGGTGTTTCCAATGTCACTCCAAGTTACTCACTCCCCCCTGCCTTGGTTCTCCTACCTGACTCTATCCCTCCTTTTACCCCTTCCCTCTATTTTCTTCTGGGAATGCAGGGGTCCCTTGTGGTTCTGTTCTTAGCCTTAACTTCTCACCTCCCTCTCCTAGAGTGATCTCACATTCACAGCTTCCATTATCGCCTCCACACCCATGACTCCAGCCCAGAGGTGTTGCTGGGGCATAGACCCACATTTCAAATCACAAACTAGACACCTCCTCCTCGGTGTCCCAACGACATTGCAAAATCAGCTTATCAAAGAACAAAGGAAGATCTTCCCTCCTCCCTTGCTAAACTTGTTCTTCTTTCTTTTAGGTCAGCGCTTAGACGAATTATCACCCACAGGTCAAATCCAGCCCACCACTTGTGTGGGTCAATGCTTCTTACATTTTTGAAGGGTTGAACAAAAAAATCAAAATACTCCCATTTTATGACATAGGAACATTATAGGAAATTCAAATTCCAGTATCCAGAAGTAAACTTACAAAAAATTACGTATACCTAGCCTATCAGACACGTCCATGGTTGAACCACAACCCCACGCTTTCATTTACATCTTGATGATGACAGCTCTGGGGCTGTGCAGCAGAGTTGAGTCGTTGTGGACCTCAAAACCTAATGTATTTACTTTCTTGCCCATTATAGGAAAGCAAAAAACAAAACAAAATGGGCTGGCCTGTGGTCTAGGTCAGGGGTTGACAAACTTTTGATATGGAAGAGCCAATCCTGCCCCTCACAACCATTTAAAAATGATTCGAGAGCCATAAGTTTATTTTCACAAGTAAATGAAATCACCATTACCTGTAAATGAAACTATGATAGTTCTATTTTCATTTGCAATTTTACTTCTGAGCCACATGTACGTGCCGAAAGAGCCGCAAATGGCTGGGGAGCTGCAGTGAGCCAACGACCCCGGGGCTAGGTGAAAGGCGCCATCATTCTCTCTACCAGCTAGGCCAGCAATGGCTCTCATCTTATGGCAGTTTCCCATTGCTTCCCTCTTGCCGATAGCCTTTCAGTCCCTTAGCCGGGGCTCTAATCTAGATCTTCACCATCACATCAAATCTACTACCATCCATAACCCCCTGTTCCCCACTCTCACCACTGCTGTGTTGAATTCCTGCCCCTTGTGCCTGTGAATGTGATAGTATGATAGTAAACTCTTCACCGGTGTGAGATGGGTCCTAACCCTAATCACTTCTGAGTTATAAAAACACCACACACACACACACACACACACACACGTAAATAGAGGCCATGTGAGGATCACCTGTAAGCCAAAGAATGCTAAGGAGCCAGTGCAATTGGTTAGTGCCTGGTTAACAAAGGAAGGAACTGATGTAGCCACGGCCCTAAATTGGACTTTAGGCCTTCGTATCTGTGAAAAACTAAGTCTCCATTGTTTAAAGCGACCCACTGCAGCATTTCTATTACTGCAGTACCACATAACTAAGCCACTGAGTGAGTGGCTGAAATGTAGTCCAAGGTCAAACCCCAAGTGGGGGCCAGGTTCAGAACTGGTGAAGCCCGGCACTTCTCCCATTTATGCCAGGCTTCCGTTTTTTCCTGCTGCAGGCTCTGCCCTGTTCCAAGGATAGGTCTGAGTGTCGTTGAACTCCTCTTTCTGGGAGATCTGAACCTGTCCCTCCCTTCCCCTACGATCTCCCTTCCCTTGCCCAGAAAAATTCCAGTGACATCCCACAGCCAGGAAAACGGAGTCACCATTCCTCTTCAGGCCACAGCTTCCTCAGCTTTCTAACAAAGGGCTGGACCTAATGGCCTCTCTCTCCGGCCCTGAAATCCTAGAAGAGCCAGCCTTGTTGCCTGGCTTTCACAGTTTCCAGAAGCTGGACCAAACATACTATTTTCAGCTTGTCCTTGTTCTCACTACTTCCCTGTGTACCCCAAACCACACTGCTCCCCAACTCCTACCCCGTAGGCTTTCATCAACACATCCACGACTTTGCTTGTGCTGATCCCTGAGCTGGGCTGCTATCCTACTCTTTCCTCCCCAGCTGCGTTTCAACTCTTCAAAGCCTCACTGAAGTGCCCCAGGCTCTGTGAAGCCTGTGCTGGGGCCACAGACCACCAGGCCTGCAGCATGACTGCGTGGTGGGGTATAGCGAACACCAGGGCTTGGTGCTGAGCTGCAACTCCCCCCTGTCCTCTCCTCCACTCCCCCCCTCCAGAACACTCACCCTGCTCCTTCTTGAACTCATTCTCACTCATGAACACAGGTGCCATCAGCTCCCCCACGGGAGGCTGAATGGAGACGTAGAACTGCCGGGTCTGGGTGCTGGGAGGGGTGAGAGGAAATGGTGGGGGAGGATGTGAAGCCAGTAACTTTCCCTGCACCTCCCACTTTGCCCAGAGGCAGGAGGAAGCCTAGGAGCTTCCAGGTTCACCAGAGCATGCTATATCCTCCCTCCCCTTATCACCACCCTCAGCTTCATTTCAATTCCACTCTCCCAGTCCACCCTCTCTGTGCCACAGCTGGACACATACCACAGCTGGAAGTTGGCTGCCTGGGTAGAGTCACAGAAATTAATGCCCATTACAGCAGTAGTGGATTCTCCAGGTGCCAGGGACTCTGTAGTGGTGGAAGGCAGGTGCAGTGACCGCAGACTTAATTTTCAGCAGGGAGACACCACCATCTGCTAGGTCTGGAACTCAATCTAGCCCATCCTCACAACCATTGCTAGAGCCAACTCTTCCTCTGTGGCTTCCTGGTACCTGGAAATTGTCCCCTACCTCCATCCAGAAACACCCTCCCTTTGCCCCTATTCTGCCACAGTTCTTGAACTCATCCTCGCTCATGAACACAAGTGCCACCAGCTGTGTTTCAGGTCAGTCCTGGAACAACCAACACCCCCTATCTTCTCCCAGAGCACCTTCAGCCTTGATATGGAGTTGTTGGTTCCTAGTCTATCTTGCTTCAGCTTATGGATTGTGTTAGAAACTGTCTGCCACTCCAGTCCCAGGCCTAGCACCCACAGAAAGACCAAGTCTGCCCAGAAGCCCCCTCTTCCACCCTGCCCAAGGCCTTTCCACACCGATTTCTGGAAACTCCTGGATGCTGATGCCAGCAGGCAGTTTGGGGGCACCCAC